AATTTGGATTTCGTTAGAGTAGGAGCTCTAGTCTAATGGGACTTTGTCAAATTTAACGCACCCTCTGAGGCGGCCGAGAAACAGCGCCACGAAATGGGCAGAAAATGCATTAGGCAGCTTATTGTGCACTGTCTAAAGTGCAAAATTCAAAAATTCATTAAAATAAAATTCTACAGTAAAAACTGCTCAAAATGTGGATTTCGTCACAGTAGGAGCTCTAGTCTAATGGGACAATGTCAAATTTAACACACCCTCTGAGGCGGCCGAGAAACAGCGCCACGAATCAGGCAGAAAATGCATTAGGCAGCTTATTGTGCACTGTCTAAAGTGCAAAATTAAAAAATTCCATCAAATACAGCTAAGATGTAGAGCCCCCAATTGAGCCAACAATGCAATGGCTTTTTATACAGTAAAACGTGAAATTGTGCATGATTAGGCTATATTCAAGCAGATACAGGGTAAAACATCAGTAAAACCAAATAGGCCAACAATGTGATAACTCTTCTGTATTTTGTCAGATTCATTGGGTCCATATCTTTCTAATGTACAGTAACCATGCAATGGCACTTTCAAGTCAATGCAATTGAATTTAATTCATACAGTCATTTGTATAACCCTTTTCACAATACATATAATTTCAAGGCAGCTTTACAGAAAATGCAGGTTTCTATGTTACAAAACCACAATAGGATTTAATGAGATGATATCAGAAAGTACAGTTATAAGATACCACAAATTATAGTATTTACAAATATCATATATGCATCTAAGCAAAATTAATGTGTATGTTAAAGCAATTATAAATAGATCATTTTGTATAATCATTCATGTTTGATGTTCTGGAGTCCTTGCAAGGGTAGGTTTCATCTATTCAAATGTGCTGGGTCATCTGAAGTCTTCATAAGAGGCTGGATCCAAGCTGGAGCATAATCTCAGTAGGCTACCTTGTGAAATTCTAATTTGTAATAATAATAATAAAAAATAAAAAAAAACATGTATTGAATACATTCAAATGATGTTATTTGCAATAATTAAAGAATAATGTAGGCCTAATTATATTTTTACAGACATTTATGTGTTATTATTATTTATTTACCTTTCAAAATACTTTATTATTCTTTTCTGAAAAATATAAACAATACAAACAGGGTCTCTAATAAGTGTGAATAAGTGAAAAACCACACGGTCCCTAAATTGAGCTGATGACATACAATAATTAAAGAATAATGTAGCCTAATTATATTTATGTGCTTTAATATTTGTACAGTCCATTTTCGCTGATATATCAGTGTTATTTGCTTTTAAACATTTTTTATTATAATTTTATTCGGAATATAGACCCAAAAGTAACACAATCCCTTTAAAAACGCGAAAAAGAGAAAACCGCACGGTCCCTAAGTTGAGCGTCAATAAGAAGCCAGCAAACGCGGAAGTTCGCGTCATTTAAGGTGGAACGGATAGCGTCAATAAGAAGCTGCGAATAAGAAGCTGGATTCAGCCTCGTGCCACTGCAGCTATTCCGTGACAGGCGTCTTTTTGCTAAAAGTTTGCACTTAGTGCAAATATACGCTCCGTTCTCTAAAATACATTTTATCAGACCGGCCCTCGTGGCCTCGAAACACTACCGGGCCACCGGGGAAACTCCCGACTCTTCCGATTGCCACTCCGCCCGTGGTGCCCAGGGCCCCTTAGATGTCGTGGGCCCCTGGGCAAGTGCCCAGTTGCCCTAATGGTTAATCCGGCCCTGTTTGAGAGCACGGCTTGAGTGTTCATTCACTCTTGTCTCGCGCGTTTTTGTAGAGTGCCTGGTTTATGTTTTCATTTGCCGGGCGTTCTTGTGTTGTCGTGTTCTATGTAGCACGTGGTGGTTCGTGTTTTCATCGGCTGCGTGCTTTCATGTTATGATTTGTGGGAACATGCGGCTTGTGGGTGTTCTCATTAGCTACGTGTTCGTGTCATATTTTGTTTGAGCACATGGCCAGCGAACTCTTTTAGTATACGCGGTTTTATGAATATTCAAATTAGCCCTGCCTCCACTCACTCACACCAGCTTAGAGATCCACTCGTTGACGATCACACGTTGACCTGATTGGTTACAAGGTAGTTTGTGACGTCAAAAACACCAGCGATTTCAAACCGCGTTTTTGAGACTGTCTTTGGTTCACTGCAGTTTTAAGGAGAAAATACTCTGCAATGGTGTTGACTTATGAATTTAGACATATAAACAACATTAAAAACTTGATTTCCACCACAGGGGGCTTTTAACACACTTCTTGTTATCTGATTATTGGTTAATTTGTCCCAACTGTCCTCATTACCCTCCTAATTTGCTCTCTTACTTATTCTCTGTTCGAGTCCTGTCCTGCCTGATACTGTGAACTGTGTCCAGTCCTGCTTTGTACAGATGGTCGGTCTTGGTTTTGTTTTATTTTATTAATAATAAAAAGAAAACCCATCACTGAGTCCTTGCCTCATCCCTCAACCCCTACCCTGACAGAGGAGCCATCTTAGAGACCATAATATCATATAGAGACTTGTTTACTGGCCATCCACAACCAACCATTTTTTTTATGTTTGATGTGAACATGAACAAAAACGAATTACTGTAGCGGCTATGTGATTGTTATGAAACTTTCTAAATCACTGTGGAGTCATTTAACACCCAAGGAAGTAATTATTACTTTAAACATAATTCTAAACCTCGTACTTTTTAAAGGTGACCTATAATTCAAAATTGAATTTACCTTGGTATAGTCAAATAACAAGAGTTCAGTGCATGGACATGACATAGAGTGAATCTCAAACTGGACTGTTTTCGCGTTCTCATTTAATTCACGTTTATGAAAAACGGTCGGTTCTCCACACAATACCGACTGTGACGCAATAGTCGGGATCATTAATATGTACGCCTCCAAATATTTGCATAATGCCAGCCCTCAATGCCAGGCGGAACTGCGCAGCCGAAGCATGGCAGTTGCTCAGTGTGGATGTACACATGAACACAAAAGTATTTTTTAGTTCCTTCATCTGAGCCTCTGAAACAATGGGTTAATTTTATTTTCTCTGGAAATTTTCAAACATTTCACCGACTGTTTCCTCAACTTGGGCCAATACAGAGCTGGCCTCGGATCGAGCTACCAAGCAACACTTTCTGATGTGTAATTGTTCAAGTTCAGACAGGTAATCTTTCTCTCAAAATCGTTCAATACTGTTTATGCATCAGTAAGTCAAGCCAGTGACTAAAATATCAGCTTCACATCGTTTCTTTTAGTAGGATGAAAATAATCGTATTTAAATTGTGAACAAATTATATACAGAAAGCGATCAAAGAACAATCTTTCCACACAGCGCGAGTTTATCTCGACACTTGCCAAACTCGTTATGAAATCAATGACGCACGTTACTGCACAACGAAGCTCTTACTGTATTTACATCATCGTGTTTGCATTGGTGAAAGCAGAGAGAGTGCAGAAACTGCTTTGCAATGATAAGATCTTCATTCTCGCGATCAACACACTGTCATCTGCTCAATGCTCATCACGGCAACATTTTATGTGATGGGAATAGATCTAAATACTTTAAAAACATCTCACGATTCGTTAATCTCGATAGCTGTTATAGTAAAAACGTATAATAGCAGTAGTAAAAGTATTCGGGAGAGAGTTTCACATGTAATGCGTTGCTATTTCATATGCAAGCATGTCAGCCAATCACAGCAGTGGCCGCGGTTACACTGAATCCCACAGCAGACACGCCCCTTCAAACAGAGTGTTCAAATCAGAGGCTAAAAGCAGGCTAGGAAAAATGCCATTTATTTCTAAATTATGATTATTTTTTATCTAAAAAACATACTAACATTATAAGGGTAACCCAGGAAACATTATAAAATAATAAAAAAAAACATTCTAGGGCACCTTTAAATGAAGACTTCTTTTTGTCTCTTTTGTGTGATGTATAACACAGTGACCTGAGCGACTTCAGTTTGCCAAAGCTTCCTGTGAGTGAGTGTTGGCATAGCAACCTGCCTGCAGCGAAGCATTTTAAGACAGCTAGCCGGAACTCAGTAGATTTCAGACCAACATAAATGCATAAACGGTGACATCTCTGTGAGGTATAGAAATAATGACAATTCACTGAGTAATCTTCAAATTGAATATAGTCTGTGGATGATGCATGTTGTGATCCACCTAAACAATCAACATATTAGTGTAATTGGCAACTTTTAGTTGAAAGACAAATTAGTTGCTAATCCGATTATAAACCTATAGACATTCTAATTTAAGGATTCATTAATAATGAATCTCATTTCAGCCTTCAGTACACTACTCTCAGATGTGATAAATAAAGACTGACACTTTACAAGAAACAGGGGGGCGAATGCGAAATATTAAAGTGTGAGCAGAGGGAGAGCTGATTCTAATGAGGCCCACTGCTTCAATTCCCCCTTCAGGCCTTTCAGTACAAGGGAAGGCTTTTGTTGGCTCTCACAGTTCAGTTTTTAGTTGCCAAGCAAGACCGAGTCGGAATTCCTCTCGCCTCTGTGTCCGGAATATAGCAGATTTCCACCAATTTCATCAAAATGGAAAACAATCTCTTATGCTTTCTTGGTCTGTCCATTATCGGAATAGGTAAGATGTTGCAGTGTGCAAATAACGCTAGTTGTTTTATAGTATTTCAGGTTAACTATTATGCAGTGTATATCTGTTCAAGTACCATAACAGTTGCTAAATTCTTATGAAAACCTACAGAATTTTTCTCAACATGTGTAAAGTTTGCTCGAGAAATATTTTATATTATACTTTATAAACTGTGGTTTCTGAATGTAATGTGTTAGTAAGATAATGAGTTACAGTTACATTTACATTCAGTTGGATAGCATTCTGGTTGGCTGCACAATAATTTATTTTTAATATGCAAGAAAATGTTTAAATCTTCTTCATATAGTTGCATTCATCTGATAAATGTGATTTTGATGATATTCTGATGCACACCTCCTTCAGTGTCAGGTGACAGTTGCTCCCTAGAGATCTCTCCCTCCAGAGTAGTGGTGAAATTTGGGGATGCGGTGTCGGTCAGCTGTGTGGCCTCTCGTCCAGTACGTGTGCTGGGATGGGAATCAGTCATTGCCGCATCACACACTCAGCGTGACCTCAGCGTTCAGTGGCGGGTGGACAGCTTGACTGACTGGATTGAGGAGCCAATCTGCTATGGTGTTTTTTTCACTGCACCCAGGCAGTGTGAGGAAAAACTTAACCTGGTTCTATACAGTAAGTACAGTATTTAAAATCACCATCTGAAATGTAAGTAATTGTTCCGTAATTACATTAAACCTAGCATATGTATATGCAACCTCATTGGATAAACATGCCTGTGTACAATATTGCAAAAATATAACTATACGTACAATTTACTGCCGTTTACAGCTGGAATTAACATTGTAATGCTGAGCTGACTCAGAAAGGGGAAAGCTGGATCCAAATACAGTGTTAATTATTTACAAAAAAATAAGGCTTAAACTATTAGTGAAACACAGAACATCTAGCCTGGTTAAAACCAGACCATTCTCAGTTGTAACTGAGTTATGGTCTGGCAAAGCGTCAGACAAATCATTTCCAGAGGGGCGTCACCAACGGACGTCGCGGATAGACCTAAACCCAATCAGAGCGATGAAGGAGATGACGTATGCAGAGCGGCGGAGAAACATCTCCGAGTGTTGTTCTTTGCTCGGTTTTTAACAAAAAGGAAACGTTCAAATCGCTTAAAACAGACGCGATAGCTGATTCGAACGAGTGATGTTCGACGGCGGCATCCATCTCTGTAATGTAAGCTACAAAATCTGCTTCAAAATCCCAGCGCTGTCGTCATCGTGTAAAGCCCGCCCCAACGTTTCTGATTGGTGCCTCGATTTCGACGGATTGGAAATGGGCTTGAATGAGCTCTTTGCCAGACTATCTTTCAGAGCAAATCTAAATTTGCCGGAAGTTGTCTGGGTTTTCCCAGGCTACAGAACATCAGGAGCAGAACTGAAATCTCAGAGTAACGAAGAACAAAACTGAGCACAACAACAAAACAGCCAACACCGGACAAGACCTGACAAAGAACACGGAAAACACTTTAAATAGGCTACATGAGATAATGAGGGGCTGACAAGGGACAGATGAAGGTGATGAGTAGGGTTGCTATGGTGGCAAACAAGGGTACAAAGCTAACAGGGAACTAAACACATGAACAGCGAAACAAACAGAAAACACATCAACTCAACATCAAGTAACACAAAACCGGGGAAACAAGACCGGAATGTAACAAACATAAATGGCAGTCAAAAAAAATAACAACAACCTTTTCACACAAATTATGGGCCAGATTATACAAGGAATAATTGACGATTGAATTATTAGAAAATAATGCACACCGAAGGTGGTAATGCGGTCATAACGCGAAGCAGATTATCTTTCAATAATTCAATGGCCCAGTCGATTATCGAGTCAATTATCCTGCTTGTACTACAGGTAACTCACCTCAAAACAATGTTCAGATGATGTATTTGTCCTTAAAAAGCTCTTGTGTGTACGACTAATTTCTTACACATCTAACCAAGCCTCCATTGCTAATTTCAAAACGTTATTTTAGAGCTATGAGCGCAGTTAGAGAGAGAGAGAGAGAGAGAGAGAGAGAGAGAGAGAGAGAGAGACTCATTTGTACGGATTTTCCGATGTAGCAAATTGCTCGGTAGCTCAAATGGTACAGCATTACACAATATTTGCGACGTGAAGCGCTCAGGTACGAGTCAAGATAAAAACTTAGAAGCAAGCTAAAAGGCTGTTTTAGAAAATGCGTTTTTATCTTACATGTTTTAACACTATCAATTAGGTTTATGTGTAACGTGTACGTTAATTTCAAACGCGATAGAGCATTAGCACCACCCACCATTCATTTCTGAACTGCCTTGAAACGTACAACCTTAGTAAAAAGTTTTCCAATGAGCCTGTGTGGTAGCATTTTTAAGAGAATATGAGCAGAACTCAGATTTCGAGAGCTCTGGCGGAGAAAAATATTATCAGTCAATAATGAGAGTGAGTATGATGACACAGTTTTCATTTTGGGAGTGAACTATTCCTTTACTTTTGGTTACTAAGTGGTTTTTATCATGATTAAACAAGAATAACAGCTCGTGCCAGAAACAGACCAGCATACAAAACAAGACCACTTGAAATTTAACTGGTCTAAATTAATATGCTTGTTTGAATATCCTCATTAAATACCATTGATTAAATTGCCAATTGTCTTCACACAGAGAAACCAGACAGCGTGTCCATAAGTTTAGTGAATCACAGCAGTCCAGTGGTGGTGGGAAGAGAGTACCAGCTACAGTGTGAGGTGCAGAACGTCGCACCTGTTCAGTACCTTGTTTTAAGATGGTACAGAGGACAAACCGAGGTTTACAACCACTCGTTCTCAGAGTTATCCCCTGCGACGCCAGTCCAGGTGTCCTCCACCTTGCTGATTGTCCCAAACAGAGCTGATGATGGAGCTCAGTACAGGTGTGAAGCAGAGCTGGAACTGGGAGCAGAAGGACCTCGACCTCCTCCAACAGTTCAGTCTGAAGTTCTCAACATTGCTGTTCAATGTAAGTGAATAAAAGCACCAACACCCAATAGTTCAAACATTTGATTTTATTTAGATGTTAATAGCTATCAATGTGAACGTGCTTTTTTGAATGCATGCTACATTTTTTTTTTTTTTTTATCAGACCCGCCTGACTTCCGCAGTCCAGAGGAAGAGATACTGGAAATCAGTGAAGATAGTGAAATGGTACTGGATTGTACTGCGGAGGGTAACCCGCCTCCTGTGTATATCTGGACTTCATCAAACCTTCAGGAAAAGGCTGATAACCAGCCTGTTTTGACAGCTGCATCTTTGGGCCCAGGGGTGTATACATGCACTGCGTCTAATATCCTGGGGAAAAGGAGCAAACAGTTTGTCATCAAACACAAATCAAAAGGTGAGAGCAATCAAACCACATTAGAAATTTCCACATTTCCACAAACCACATTTCTCAGACACTGAGGCAAATATTTTAGGGTTCACTTCATTTTAACTGTATGTAAAACTTAAATAACTAAATAACAAACATGCTGCAATGCATGCTGGTCTAAATAAGGTGCAAATATGTACCATTGAATACTGCCCTAAGCTTCTAGTGCCCTGAATACAATTCTTTGCACATTTTTTTTTTTGTTCTGAAAGTGTAGCATCGTAGTACCATTCACCGAGTTAATCCCCTTATCGTACTAACAGATACTCCTAATACAACATTCCACACATTTCTTTTTTTTTTTTTTTGATAGCACACAACCCTTGTGTAAAAAGAGTACTTATTATAGAAATAATTTAATTTAAAAACATATACTTATGTGCAAACTGAATGTTTGTGGACACATAAATGAACATTTATGCTTTTTTATGACCCACTTAAGAACTATAGTATATATTTATATGTAAAACTTTTGGAAGTGTATAAAAGAAAAGACATGAAACGGTTATATTACAAAATAAAAAAATCTTTTTAACATACTTCTAAAAAAAAAAAAACTTTTAGTTGCTTTAGTCCAGTAGATCTAACAGTTTAGAATTATATTTTAATGTACTTTGATAAAAAGGTATAAACAATCAGACAACAAGGCATGTAGTGACATTGTGTGCGACAGGTTTTTCAGCAGTTTTGATCACGTTAATAATTTAGAGGCTGTAGAAATGTGCATATCAAATATGATACAGTAGGCTTTATAGGGTAATGCATTTTTTTTAATCACATGCATGCATGAAAGCAGCGAGAGAAGTTCCTGCTGACGTGAGATCTTGTAAATAGAACCCCAACAGGAAGCCAAGCAAGAACAGGAATTCCTGTCCTTTCAGAGCCTCTCTCTGTTGCAAGAGAAAAGGTCATGATCACTTTGTATTGCACTGCTATAGATTATCAGTCCTGGGTGACTTTTAACATGCTTTATGAGTTTACATAGATGTGCATTTTTACGCCATGCATGTGATCAGTGGTGATTCACTGGTAATTTAAAGGTGCTGTATGTAAGTTTTTGACTGTAGTAAATTTGCAGATATTTAGGAAACATGCTGTGTTCTCATACTCTTTTCTCTGTAAAACAATGCTACATACAGTTATTTGAAATGTGTGTTCCTGTTTTTGTTTTGGTCTGTGCGACATCGCACATTGCCAATTTACCCAATAGTATTTCGCCACCACAGCCCACATAGCCAATTTTATCTGGCCCAGCTCTGCTCCACAGAACCCCATTTCCCTCAGCCCACATACTGCAAAGAATGACGACTCTATAGTGAAATATGCAGTAATTGCATAATTGAACAGAAAATGTCAAAAAGCAGTAACAAAGTATACAGTCCAAATGATGACGTGTAGCATCTGATGATTCCTCTCTGGTGGTATACAGTAGTTTTGTGAGATCCTTTCTTTGAAGGCATTTCTCATTCAAACGCACCTCACCTGAAACACAGCATCAATGAGCATTTAATATGTAAAACTTGTCATAAAAAAACTTGGTCAGAGATCACACCCTAAAAGCTTCAACAAAAATCTGTATGAACGGGAGCATATTAGAAAACGATATCAACTCATCATAAATCATCTCATCAATTTACAGTGTGTATATCTCCTCACCCAGGCCCGGCGCCACGAGGGGCCAAAAGGGGGCATTCCCCCCTCAGATTTGATTTGTGCCCCCTCAGTTTAATTTTTGTATTCATGGTTATACAAATGAAATGTTTAACCTTTTGAGCGGTATGGTCCCATATATGGGATTTTTATTTTCGGTGCCCCTTGAGAGTACGTTCCCACATATGGGATTTAGAATGTTCAGTGGCGTCACATGGGCTAACTGCCAGATTCAAACTGTGCTTTTGCGCGTTGGTTGGCGCTGAGCCAGAGATGAACAGCTCAGCGCTGTCATATATCACGACTATGCAGTGTTTTCAACCTCATAATGTTTATTTTAGGTTTCAGATACTCAGATACACATAAGCACTAGTAAAACAATACATTTGGAGTTTGTAAAATACACAATGATGTCTGTGGAAGCAGCAATAACAATCTATTCAAATATAATTTTCCGACGTGTGTTATTCATATCAGACAAACATAGTGGAAGTAACTATAAAGTTTACTCTATTCTTCTCACAGTTCACCGGCCAATTTCTTACATGCATTTCGGGAGAAACTGATGACTGACAGGACTCTCTGAACTGCGGCGCAAAGAAACATGGTCTCATGTTATAGATCAAGATCAAGATCATTTATAAAGGGTTTTAAACATTTGTGAGAATCGGAATATCAGATAGTTGATGACATGGTAAGCCAGTTTGTGAATATTTTGAATAAAAAAGGAAAAACTAAATAAAAGCGATACATCTGTCAGACAGTGTTATTGTGGCTGCGGTGTGTCACGTGACAAATATGAGGCGTCGCCATGGAAACATTAAGGGGAAGCGTTCGGTCTCATTGAAAAATAATAGAATATTTTAAACTAAAGTACTTTAAGTAAATATATGCATGATAAATGACGCCGGCTTATCTTTTTATTACGCTGTTTAAACTTTGCTAGTCAGTTTCTGGTTACCTGTGGAGTGTTTTAGGGAGCGCTGCATTTAAAAATCTGTTGTTCCAAAGCGAGTTCTCATTGATGGTATAAAGTTAAGCCCCCTTAAAGGGATACTCCACCGTTTTTTCATATTAAACTATGTTATTCTCTTATCTAAGACGAGTTGATACATACCTCTCTCGTCTCAGTGCGTGCACTGAATCGCTCTGTCGAGCGGAGAACTTTGAGAGCAGTTAGCTTAGCCCCATTCATTGTATATGGGCCAAACAGAGATGAAGTTAGAAGCGACCAAACACATCCACGTTTTCTCTATTTAAATATAGTTACACGAGTAGTTACACGACCAAGTATGGTGACACTAAATAAAATGTGGCGCTTTTTATAAGCGGGTAAAATGGATAACTATAATGTATGGCGGAATAGCACTTATTGGGAGCACTTCGACTCTGCGCTGTAATATCTTCACTCGTGAAAAGTCCTCTCCCCCCTCTCCCTCTCCCTGATACTTCGTCAACTCTGCACAAAAACTACTACTACTGCAGGCGTGCAGGTCACGTTGGTTCTATTGACGGAAATGACAGGGAGAGGGAGAGGGGGAGAGGAAGTGCTCCCAATAAGTGCTATTCCGCCATACATTATAGTTATCCATTTTACCCGCTTATAAAAAGCGCCACATTTTATTTAGTGTCACCATACTTGGTCGTGTAACTACTCGTGTAACTATATTTAAATAGAGAAAACGTGGATGTGTTTGGTCGCTTCTAACTTCATCTCTGTTTGGCCCATATACAATGAATGGGGCTAAGCTAACTGCTCTCAAAGTTCTCCGCTCGACAGAGCGATTCAGTGCACGCACTGAGACGAGAGAGGTATGTATCAACTCGTCTTAGATAAGAGAATAACATAGTTTAATATGAAAAAACGGTGGAGTATCCCTTTAACAATTTCACATGCCCCCCTCACCTCAGTCATTTCATCTGCTCAAGTGTAAGCAGGAGGGGAGAAAACTATGGAGTTAATTTTGTGCCATAATTAAACAAACAAATCCAGCATTGTGCAAACAAACTCGATCTGCTTTGCAAAGGAAAACTCGACTCGCAAACAAACAGAAAGCAATGTGCAAGTACAAAGGTCAATTTGAGCGAAAATGCAGTGGAGTAGCCTAACACATATGCATTGTGTTTTGCAAATATAAATAGAGTCTAGATAATATTTCACAAATAAATGCAAACCATCCTAAAAATTGCATTTAACCTTTGAACAAATACCAGATCTAGTACAAATGCATATCTGTCAGACACTTGACTTTTTATGAGATCTCTCGGCTCAATTTTCTCACATATGTGACCAGGCAGATTTTCTCACAAATGCAGTTGAGCAACTTCCTCTTCTAAAACAGTAGATGGCCCTAAGATAAGCGCTAAATGAAATGATTTGATTTGAAATGCGTGTTTGATTTGAAATGCGTGTTTGCCTTTGCCTACAGCTGTGGAAAATGACCAGTGAACAGGTGTGCTTCTCTCTTACTTTATCTATAATTAACCTTTTTGAGGTTTTCTTTTGCAAAATGTTTATTACAGAAATCAACATTAGCACTTAGTAGCACTTCACTCTCTCTAGGATAGGGGAATCTATAAGCTGAAAGCTCTGCCATCATATGTTGCTTTTTTTCTCTCATAGTTTTGGGAGATTTAAAAATGTAAAAATGTGATTTTAAGATCCTCCTGTTTGTCTCCAACAGTTCTTATGTCTTGTTTTGACAGATCCACATACTGTAAATGAGTTTTCAAATGTTTGTTTCTGTATCTCTAAATGTTCAGGAGCATTTTTTTATTCTGCTAACCTGTCATTCACCATTGTTGTGTGTGTTTTACAGGTGTTTAAGCCCAGAGACCTTGAGAACGAACCGAAGACATCTAGATACGCTCAGGACTTTCTGAACGTGGCAGATCAAAATCTAGCTCTAGCTCTGTTCCATTTTAGATCTACTGTATATGTTACCTTTTAGGGGACTCTCATTTCAGGGGTTATGATTTGTTAAATATGAGAGTCAAACCTACATACAGCATGTGTAAAATCTATAGTTAGCATTATTAATATTTTGTGTAAGGTAATTTTAACAGAGCATTTGTATGTTCCATGACACATTGGGTTTGCTCTGACATTTTAATGTTTTTGCAGATATTTACTCATCCAATAATAAAAAATATATAAAAAAGACTGTGAATACAATACTAAAGAGTACATTTCATTACATTCACAAGCATGTTTCATTGAATGCTCTTTAACACCCGAGCCTGCATGTTTTTTTTTTTTATAAAATTGGCTCATTGAACTTGTATGTATCATGCCAGGTGCAGAGGAGTTGATATTTAGACTTTTACTTAGAAATTACTCCTTTCAAAGTCACATATGAAACCTTAGATTCAAAATTTGAGGGGGAAGATCTGAGGAAACAAAAATTGGACATTATTTTGAATAGGCCTATATAATCGAATATCTTTCATTATGATGTTATTAATGAATTAATCCATTGACAGTCTTCGCAACTACCACTTTCAAGCCCCTGAAAGAGAGTAAAGACATCATTGAAGTAATCCATGTGACTCCAGTGGTTTAACCTCGCTTTTATGAACCGACACGTGCATTTCCGCAAAAAATACTTTAATTACAAAATATGAATCTCCTACGCCCATTCATGCAAAGACGTCTGCTCTCGCGTCAACACAACACACATGCGCCATGCTCTCGTGAACAAGCGATGGAGATTTTGTAAATAAAGTGGTAAATTATGGGTTTTTTTGCGCTAACAAATGACTCATAAAATTAAGGTTAAACCACTGGAGTTACATGGATTCTGTAATGGTGTCTTTACTATCTTTCTGGGGCTTGAAAGTAGTTGAGGCTGACAATGGAGGGACAGAAAGCTCTCAGATTTCATTAAAAAGATCTTCATTTGTGCTCCGAAGATGAACAAAAGTTTTATGGGTTTGGAACAACATGATGATGAGTAATTAATGACCGGAAATGAGAGAGTTTGATGCGTCCCAATCACATCCAGAAGGTTGTAGACCTTCATCCCATTTCTAATTTGATTTAATTTTCTAATTTTTTCTAATCATCCACCACATGGGAATGGGGTAAGTTGAGCCAACCCTAAAATCAATGGAACTGCATGTCATAAATACAAATTAGTAAAAACTGTCAGCATATTGAATAATGTCAGTGATTTAGCAATAGCATACAGAGCGGGCAAATTGAATCACTGATTCAAACACCTTCTATTTTCAATTTATAATTTAATACAATATAAAATTGTACACTCTTGACTCTTCATTTTCTCTAAACAAAAATGAGGTGATATAATTGGTGGTTTTATTATGGGATCTCAGACAAGTTTCAGAGAGAATCCCACACGCAAAAGCTATACAACAGTTTGAGACAGACACAACAAAAAAGATCATCGTGACTAACATGTCACCACCTTCTATCAATATGATTGGTTCAATTTGTAAAAGCAAGCCCCCACCTTCTTACCCTATGTGTTACTGGCACTGGCAGTTGATGATATACCATGACATACAGACAGTATATTTTTGATTTTGTCATGGTCAGTTCTTCAGAAGTTTCCATGGACACAATACTCAAAGAACAGAACGTTTTAGTAGCTACATTTTGTTCAAAGTGTTAGAATGTTAGGCGAAAAGGGGAAGTATGATTAGTGTGATATACAGTCTACTATTGGGGAGACCGGTGTGGTGAATAATCCGGTTACTCGGTGTGAGTTGATCATTTCCAATTTTCAATGTTTACCTACTGTCTCCCTGACAACGCATGGTTGTCAAGTCTGAAAACTGATTCAATCTGAACTTATCGAGAAAAAACTGATTTTGAGGTAAGAAAGTAAATTTTTTGACCAAGACTATTTTTTGTCTAGTATCTAAACTATTGGAGATAAATAAGATTGACTTATATTAGATTAAAATGTAGTTTCTTGGGCAAAATGTGATGCAGTTTCCCCCTGCTAATTTCAAACTAGTATGCTATAATACAGCTAGCAGCTAGCTAAACAGTGACTGACAGGGGTGGGGTGGGTTGTAAGTAACACTTCTTGAAAAAGTGTTACAACCATCCCCTATCATACAACTGATTGATTTTAATATTTTTATAGAATGCCTAGGCAGTGGGAAAAAAAAGACAAGAAGACGCACACACACACAGAGATAGATATGTTTTTTTTTTGTTAGAAATTGTAGTTTGTTTATCAAGTATACTGTTAAGTAAGTTTGTTCAAGTAGACACATTTACATACACACACACACACACACTAGTTAATCAGACAGTCTGTTCCAGAGAGGGATTGAGACATTGTTCTTTTATGTCAATAAACCTGTTTTTGAAGCATATCTTATAGTGTGGCATCCATTTTTGCTTCTTTTGTGTAATTGTTACAACTTACCCCAGCATGTGTTGCAACCTACCCCAGTATTGGGGTAGGTTGTAACGAAGGTACTTCATGTATTTGACACCACCTCACAAGGTCTGTGATATTCTTGTAGAGGATTGCATTGGATTGATTTCTAGTGAACACATGTGGGTAGGCTACTTTGTATAAAAGTTTGAGAACTCTAGCTACAAAATTCAGTGAGTTATAGTTACTGAAGCAAAAAGTGTTACAACCATACCCGGTCTCTCCCCCTATTCATTTTATTCATTAATTTTGAACAATACCCGTTCTTGTCTTAGGACAACTTTGATTAACTTTTTTGACCCACTTCAAATGTTGACAATAGAAGAGAAAGTAGATCGGCAAAGAGAAGCATTGTGCTTTAAAGGAAACAGATGGAGGACCTCCGAGAGATAATTAGCATTTTAACATTCATAAGTTCCCTCCAGATTGTTTTGATTCTTGTGGTTATTAACTTAAAAGACTATTTACACATGAATACCTCAAGCATGAACTTTGAAGCTGTTTTCAAAGCATAGGCTATAACAAAACAAGTATACTTTCTCAGGGAGTAGTTGTGATATCTGTAAGATAGTAGGAATATTTTATGGGTGGTCAAAATTAACTTGCAGTTATTGCTCATGTTTATTGTTTTCGAATTGTTGAAGTGTGTATCCACCTGCTTACTTTGAGTGAGTGAGTGTTTGTTTGTCGAATTGCTCCCTCTAGTGGGTTTTTTTTAGCATCCTTTTATTAAAGTGGGCTATATCAAATGTAGGCTATTGATTACAGTAAAAAGAAGCATTTTTTTTCTTTAATTTTTTGTAAAAAGAAGCCTTGTGTTTTAAAGAAAGAAGGAAAATTGTAGAAGAAGCATGCTATAACGTTTGTTTTGGACATAATATTGATCACTGGCGTATTATCATTGATATCAATGACATCAACTATGATTTTACAGGAATCAGTCAGACCACCGTGATCACTTGCCTGAACGCGTATCTCATAATTGCGAGCTTTTTCAAAATCTATTATTCCGACCACGGTAACCTGCCCGTTATCTTTATTTATGTCAAATAACTGACGCACATTATCTTGCATGTTAGTAATGGAATACTCTATCTTACTATTTATACCCTCATCGGCGTCAGTTGCGCTCACTGTTGACACAATAGTGTCTTTTGGCGCATTCTCGGTTACAGACGCTTTATACACTGACTGCGAGAAAACAGGAGCATTGTCGTTTACGTCTAAAACAGTAATGTGAATCTCTATACTGCCAGACAACTGAGGATCTCCTCCATCAACAGCTGTGAGCACTAATATTACATCATGCTGTTTTTCACGGTCTAAAGGCTTTTGCAGAACCATTTCGACATTTTTCCCATCTCCTGGTTGATTTTTAAACTTCTGATGCCTACATGTGAAACATTACATGTGAAACTTTACATTAATAAATATGATTTGAATAAATAAATAAATTTATATATATATATAAATTAAAATATATATATTATGGCAAATATGATTTTGTTTACCTTACATAAATTGGAAACATTTAGGCTTAATTTAGCTACTAATTTTTCATTATTAATAGTCCCGGGCCGGTTCTACGAGAGCGCCAGAGATCTCGATGAAGATGAGTAGGCTACAGCTTTTTAGTAGGCTAATTATAAAGGGAGCTTTCGTTGTCGATTCAGAATTTGTATAAAACTTGTTTTTCCTTGGACCAATGGCCACGTACACGCTGCAAAGTTTGGGGAACTACGTATCCGCGTTTATGCGGGATTCACTCTTGAAATAGCAATAATTGACATTGATAGCCATAGCATTGTTTGTTCCTGAATAAAACAGCCTTTTTCACTGAAATGGTTGAATAGTCTGTGCTGACTGACTTACTCACTCATAACAGTCCTTTCCCGCCACCTACTGGACGTCATGTGGAAATCGTAGGTAGGCTATACTGAAATCGTTGAAAAATCCCCGCCAACACACAGACTGACAGCCTGTTTTGTCACAAATATGTTTGTATCTATTAAACTAGTTTCATGCATTTAATCAAGTTTTATTAAACAAACATTATTGTCACAGTGTCACAACAATCATCCAGTTGTTTTTAGAGTAAATACATGGTAAATAAAGCCAGAATCATTCTGTTGGACGTAGCCTACTGTTCAAAAGTATCTTTTGCTCACCCAGCCTGCATTTTTTTGATCCAAAATACAATAAAAACATTAATATTATGAAATAGTATTACAATTTAAAATAATAATACAATAAAATATAATTTATTTCTGTGATTAAAGCTGAATTTTCACCATCATTACTCACGTCTTCATATTAGAATGATTTCTGGAGGATCATGTGATGATGTTTGATGCTCAACAAACATTTATGATTATCATCAATGTTGAAAACAGTTGTGTTCAATCTTTTTCTTTTCTTTTTTACTTTGATGAATAGAAAGTTCAAAATAACTAAATTTATCTGAAATAGAAATAGAAACTTTTTGTAGCATTATACACAACCATTCAAAAGCTTGCGGTTAGTAAGAATTTATAAAAAAAAAAATGTTGGGAAAGAAATTAATACTTTTATTTACACTAAAAAAATAACTCTTTGAATGAACATAAAAAAATCATGGAAAGGATTTCCACATGATTAACTTGCTTTATTTCAGCATTATGCAATTCTGTTATTCCAATTTAATGTACTTACGTTGGGTCAACTCAATGTATTAAGGTTGATTCAACTTATTTACTATGGTTGGGCACAGCTTAATTT